GGCGACTCGCAGACCTCCACGGGCCCGGACCCGCCGCGGCCGGCCGGCAGCTCGCCGCCCCACTTCCCCGTGGACTTCTCCAGCGCGGCGGCGTTCGGTGAGCGCCTGACCCGACCCGACCTGGCCTGACCTGACCTGGTCTGGTCCGACTTGACCTGACTCGAACTGAGCTGACATGACCTGACCCGATCTGACCTGGTGCAGTGCGAGCTGCCCGGCGCGGGTTCGGCCGGTGGGTGACCCGACTGGACTTGGGCTGGACCGCCTTCGCTGGCCGTCAAAACACTAGACGTTGGTGATCCGGTTCGTGGCGGTAGCTGGATGGTTGGTGCTGCATGCCAGTTTGAACGGGATGCAGTTGTGGCGTTATCTTCGAGGACGCATTGTATGAATTAGCATATAGCCGTGATTCGCAGAATGAACGCTGTAAAGATTGAGTCAACTTGCCATGCCTCAGCGTACTTGTACCCCTAACTGGGCATTCTCAGCCACGTGATACCAAGGATTGGGCGGGAATTAACAGCTATCCAACCCATATTGTTGATGTATGCGTGTGTCTTGTGTTGGGTGTGTATCGGTATGCGGCTATTCCGCCGGTGTGGACATCATCACCTCCTTGTCGCTACAAGGTGGCTTGCCAGAACGGCGCAAACGTTCCTGTACTCAGCACCCACTCGCACCAGCCACCACGAGTCGCTGTGCTGCCGCGATGTTCCTATTGACCGCGACATGACCGCGTGCCCTACATTCCCTGACTCTACCGCAGGCGAGTCGCCGAGTCAGCACACTCCAGTCGAGTCAGCCGTGCCAGCGACGGAACGGCTCGCCGATTCGGACCGGTGAGCCACCGGGCGCACTGCGCATGCGTCGTGTTGATGAGTGGCGGCGTTGTTTGGCGCGTCAGCACCGTCGGGCATGCCCGGGCGGGAGATCGGCGGATTGTGTTTCGCCGGGCGTTTGACTGCGGTGCTCACGCCGGCTTGCATTTCGACGCCGAAGGTCGTGCATGCGCAAACACGTGGTGTCGCGCGGGGGTCCCAGCCCCCTGATCTGACACGACACAAAACACTGACGACCCGCCCGGCCTCCAGTGCCGCGGCGATGGGGAGTTCAGAGTCGCCTGGACCTCGGGTGCCGGTCGGCGAGAGGGTGGACAGCACCGCCGCCAATCGCAGGTCAGTGTCCCGTCTGTGGCGGTCTGCAGTCATCTGCGGTGAGTGATGCCTGGTCACGGTTAGGTATGCCGTCTCCCGCGTGTCCTTGATTCGCAGAGATGTCAGGCATGCCACCAGCGGGTGTGGGCGCGCCTGGCGACCAGCGACCAGCAGCCACAGCTGCATGCTGGGTGCCGCGCTCCGTGACCGTCACGCTGGGCCACGCGCCGGGCGCCTGCCGCGCCGACTCGTCTCCCGCCTCGTGCGGCGGGTGTGACCACAGACTCGCTTGTCTGTTGATTACCGCACCGCTGCACGGGCCGTCCGTGTTATCCGGGATTGAACGCTTTCTTGCGTGAAAGTGATACTGGTCGAACCTTTGTGAGGCCGTTGCGAATGTTTCCGGCAAGTGAGGGTCAGCCATTTAGTTATAATGTAGCCGAAACGTGTTCTCTTTTTTAATTGTCCCGTGCTCATTCTCCGTCTAGGGCTTTTCGCCACAGAATGCAATCGTTTTATGACTGGTCCTAGTGCGAACGAGGCTAGAATGTATCATTCAACATGAGCTGCTGCGGGTGCTGGTCAGTGCGAGCCTCGCCAGCGCCCGCAGCTGCACTGGTCGCCGCTCCATGTCCGACGCGTGCCGCCCCATGCACCGTCCCGCCGCGTGACGCCAGCGCCTGTTGCAGCCCGGCGGCCGTCGCGCCGGAACCGTCGGCGGCACCCAGCTCCGGTACCGCGCCGCAGTCGCGCCCGGCCGCCGAAACCGACTAGCCGCGCCGCCGGCCGCGCCCTGTGATACGTATGCTGGGGCGCCGCGCCAGCCCGGCCGCGCCAGGCCGGCTCAGGCCGCGCCGCGCCAGCCCGCGGCGCGCGCGCGAGTGTACAGCGATTACCTGAGTACAAGGCTGGCGGTGGCCGTCTGGCCGCCGCGGAGTGCGTGGCTCGCCGTGCTGAGGCGCGGGGGAGGCGCTCGGCGTCGGGCCGCGGCCCCGGCTGGAGCTGGGCTCACGCGGCCGGCACCCTCGCCCGTAGTGGTAGTTTGGCTGTGGTGAGCGTGGCGGTGACCGCAGCCGGGAGCAGGCTCGAGGGGGGACCGAGCCGCCGGGCCGCGCGGCCCCCGGCCCGGCCGACACCGGGGTCGGTCGGGGTGGGGGAGGGGGCCGCTTGCGAGACTCCTGCCACTGGCCGAGGCGTTGCCGACGATTCTGACGCGTTTTGTACCGTTTTACGATAGGAACGCGTGACATTCATTTGCTGTTTTCTCCCTCGCCGGTTTAAGCTGCTGAATTTTCGTGTTGTGTACATTCCGAGATTGTGTGGGTTGTTTTAGTTTTGAGCTGCCCCGACCACTCCAGCCCCGAACCTCATCCACTGCCTGCTAGCATCAATATCTGTCTGACTCGTGCGTGGTGTGCCAAAATCGACGCGAACGCGGTGCGATGCCGCTGTGGAGCGCTTTGTTAGCCAGTCGCCCCATTCTTGTTCTCCTGCTCGCTCGCTCTGTACACTTCCCGCGCTTCGTCTCATCACGACCTCACGCACGCGTCTCGGCCGCGGCGGCTGTAGTTGATCGTTCTGCCGACAGGCGGCGCTAGCGAGGCGGCGCCCTCGACTCGCGGGCGCGCTGCCAGCCAGCGTTTTGTGCTCCAGCACCAATACAGTGTAGTCCGGCCGGCCGCTCGTTTTTGTCCGGAGGTGACGGACGCCGCCGTCAGCCGGGAGACAAACAAGGCACGCCGTGCCAACCGCGGGCGAGCCACGGGTGTACCGCGCGTCGTGGCCAGCGGACCCCGCGGCGAGCTCGCCGGGGCCGGGGCCAGCGCCAGACAGAGCCCGTCCGCGAGTGGCGTCACGCGCTGGTAGAAATCGACCGCCGGAGGGAGTTGGAAGTGCAGCAATGTCTGGGTGCCAGCAAGGCTGTTATCGCGCTGAGCCGGGCGCTCGCCACCGAGCGGCCTGTGTGTCACGATGTTAGATATCGAAACCTCTGTTACGGGGAAATTTCCGTCGTCCGAAGCTTACTTTGAGCAGAGTGAAGCGTTGCCTAAGGGTGATAAGACTCGGAACAGACCCAGGTGGTCGCTCCGGCAGTGAAGGACTGTGTTGCAACAACGAGCGTTGCATTGCGTGTCCTTGCACGTAGCGGACGCAATACCTGGGCCTGTTTCGCTGTTCATCCCCTTCACGTCTCCTTAGATACGGATGAACGTGTCAAAAGGGCATGGATTATCTCGTCTTCATCTCCCCATCTGTCCGTAGTTCACCAGCCACTAGCAGTTGACGTGCGTGACTGAACTGCCTTGAGCAGTACCTCGCACGACCCATACTATCGTGTAAAATGGACGATGTATTGACAAAAATATATGTGAACACCGCAGCCTGTCCGCCCACACCGCTTCAGGGCGAAGCTCGCACAGCGTGGCGCCGCGCCGTTTGTACAGAACGTGACGCGATGACTAATCAGCGCCGACAACTGTCACGGAACAACAGACGATAAAAGTCGCCCTTTGGCTGGTCGGGCAGCTGGGACCGACTGGAGTGCTCGGGCACACTGGTGAGACCTCATCCCCACCCACGGTCCACAGCAGCGCGCCTACGTTGAACACACCAGGTCACTGCGCAGAGCTGAGAGAGCGAAGCCGCGGACACGGCGCCAGGCAATGTAAACAAATCATCCATTTTTTGCAACGTGCAAAAAGGCGATTAGCGCGATCATTGGCTAGGGCCTGCACTTCAAGCCGGGCGATGGGCCTGCGCGCGGCAGAGGCGGGCGGGTGTAACGTGGTCACGTGGTCCACTGTCCTGGTAATCAGCTGCGCACGCTCGCAGTCGTCGCATGGATGGCCGGGCCGACGGGACGCCGCAGTCGTCGAGGAGCTCCAAATAGGCTGCATCAACAATATCAGGAGACGACGCTTAAAGAACAACAGGGATGAACAATACGAGGAGACGTCACCTGCTCTGTGACAAGCGAGGTGAGACAGTCATCAAGGACTGGAGTGATGCACAATAATCAAAGGGCGCTGGTACCATTCCAAACGGATAGCGGACTGCGAAAACGAAACGAAGGCGACCACACAAGGAGGCGAATCAAGACAAGAAGTGCGACAAACCAGTCGGGTACCAGCGGACGTTTTCTGTCGACAGACGGGCGGCGTCCGCATCAGCTGACAGCGTGCCGCCCCTTCCCGTGCCGTCCAGCACCTGTATCCGGGGTCCGGACGGGTGTGACTAGTGCTCGCCGGATCACACCACGGCCCGCCTCCCCGCGAGAGTCGGCAGCGGCGCGACGTCTTCCGAGGCGTCGGCGAAGCTCGGATAGGAGTGACACCCTCCCGAGATCTGGCGGCCGACGTCCATCGCGTCCTCGCACGGCTCATCTAGAGCTCGTCAGCCCAGTGCCAAGTGGCAACGTTCACCATTCCTGCAGCCGTAGAGTCTACCACAGACAACAACGAGGTGACGACACGGAGAACATATCGAGGACACATTCCCCGCGCGGTTCGACATGCAGCGTCGCGTCGAAATAAACAAAATATCACAAGCAGGCGGTCGCTGGCGCCGGCGCCCGGCGCAGCCCAGCACCGCGAGGTCCCGCGTGACGTCACTCCCCGGAATGACGTCACACTTCCGTGCCGTCCTCGCCCTCGTCCTGGAAGGCTATCACGTGGCTGCCGTTCATATGCGGCTTGGGCATGACGGGCGGCGTCACCTTCTTCGGCTTGGGCATGACGGGCGGGGTGGGCTTGCGGGGCCGGTGCGTGGGCGGCGGCGCGGCCGGCGCCAGCGGTGGCAGCGGCGCCACCTCATCCCACTCCTCCGGCTCCTCGCGCAGCGGCTCGATCAGGTCGGCGCTGGCGGCATGCGGCCGGCCAGCGGCGCGCGGCGTGGCGCGAGGCTCGCCGTCCAGCGCCACGTAGTAGGGCGGCAGCGTCTCGGGCCCGTTGGAGCTGAGGCTGAGCCGAGAGCTGCCGTCGGCGGTGGTGCGCGGCCCCAGCGTGTCGTACACGGGCTCCGGACCGCGGCCGGCACTGCCCCAGCTGGGCGTGCGCTGACGGCGCGGCAGCGTCACGTAGCCAGGGCGCACGCCGCGTGCCGGCGTGGCGACCAGCCGCGGCTGCGGGCCCGGCAGCAGGCGCGTCTGGTCGGGCTGGGTGGAGCTGGACGAGCTGCCGGCCGGAGAGCTGCGGCCCGGCCGGCGTGGCAGGTGCAGCAGGTCCGGGTAGTCGCCGCGACGCCGACCGTCCCACGTCATCGGCGAGTCGGGCAGGCTGTAGCGCCGCGTGCGCTCGTCGTCGGCGGCGGCGCGGCGCGGCTGCGTCAGCACGGCCGGCGTGCGCACGCGCTCCATCTCGATGTCGGTCTGCGGCACCTTCTCGTACTCGCCGAGCCGCTCTGGCTTGCTGTCGGCGCTGATGGACGCGCCGTACGGCAGCGCCGGCCGCTCGTCGGGCACCGGCTTGTCCGGCTGGCTGCGCTGCCGCCGCCGCCAGTAGCAGCAGCAGAGCAGCACCACCAGCGACAGCAGCAGCAGACCGACGGCGCCGATCACCAGACCGAGCAGCAGAGGCCGCGAGAGGCGCGCGCCGCCCGACGGCGTGCCGCCCGGCGCCGCTGGCACCACCGCGCCGGCGCCGCCGGGGACCACCAGTGTCACGTTGCGCTCCACCACCCCGCCCGGGTTGACACCGACGCAGAGGTACTGGCCGGCGTCCTGCGCGGTGATGTTGCTCACCGTCAGGTTGGTCCAGCGGTTGACGGTGCCTTCCTCGCGAATGACGTACGTCTGGCCGGTGAACGGGATGCGCGTGTTGTTGGCGATGATGCGGCCGCTCATCACCCAGTTGGTGTCGGGCGCCGGGTTGCCGGAGATCTGGCAGCGCAGCGTCGCGTTGCGGCCGACGTGGGCCACGACGGTCGGCTCGGGGATGTAGATCTGCGGCCGGCAGGCGAACTCCTCGGAGCGCGCCACGCGCCACGACTTGGTCACCAGCCGCTCGGGCTCAGGCGCACGTGGTGACCTCCTGGTAGAGGCTGTGTTCCACCAGCCAGTCGCGCAGCAGCCGTAGGTGGCAGTCACAGCGCCATGGGTTGTCATGCAGCGTCAGCCACTTGAGCGACAACGACTGGAACACGTCCGACTCGAGCACGGCCAGCTGGTTGCCGTTGAGGTGCAGCTTCTCAAGGCCGGCCAGGTTGCGGAAGGCCTTGGCAGCGACGCTGGTGAGTCGGCAGTCGCTGAGGTCCAGCCGCTGCAGGTGCGCCAGCGGCGGGAACTGCAGCGGCGCCAGCGTCTGCAGCGGGTTGCCCGACAGCAATAGCTGGCGCAGCTTCTCGTTGTCGCTGAACGTCTCCGGGTGCAACTTGGCGATGGCGTTGTTGGAGAGGTCTAGCTGGATGAGCAGCCTCAGGCCGCGAAACGCGTGCCGGTCGATCCTGGCCAGGCTCGAGCGCCGAATGTACAGCTTCTGCAGGTGCTCCAAGCCGACGCTGTGGAACGCGTCCTTGGGCAGCTCCTGGATGTCGGTGCCAGAGAGGTCCAGCACCTGGATGTCAGGACTGAGGCCGCGCGGCACCGCCGTCAGCCCGATGTCGATGCACTCGGCCTTCCGCTTTCCCGACACCCACATGCACTTGCAGGCGGCCGGGCAGGAGGTGGTGAAGTCGCCATGAGCGGGCGCCGCCAGCGCCAGCAGCAGCAGCGTGGCCGCCGCTCCGGCAAGGCCCGCCATCGTCGCCCCGTGCGGTCACGTGACGTCGGACGGTCAGACGTCTGAAACAGAGGGGGCTGCGTCAGACGCGGCGAACGCGCTGAGACTGGCGGTAGCACCGGGCTCTGCTGATGCGATCAGTCGTTCAGTGCTGATTCACGGAAGTGGCGTAACAACGTTATCTCGCCGGGCCCGCGCGGGGCGTCAGACAGGTCTGCGCGAATTATGGCGCTCACCGCATTACCGAGAAGATATGCGACGGCGCTTCCGAGAGGAGAGTTTCTCGCAAAGTCGCTCGTGACACGGACGATAAGGCGAGCGTTTCAGATGCAGACGATACCCGCCGTCGGAACTCAAGTTAATGCATAGTTCTGAGCCCTCGCTACAGCCGGCGTCCTTCGTACTGCGCCGCAGTGCTGGTCTGGGACCCGTAGCCTACTTCGGAGCGGCTCCGGTTAATGCCCGAATCATGCCGCGTGCCGCCGGAACAGGCCCCGTGGGGCCCCGCCCAGCGAGCTCGACGCGGGCGTTACCCTCGCTGAGGTCGTGGCCCACCACATGGAGTGACGCACGGCCTCTGGACTACCAGCGCTGATGTCCCCGCACGGCGGCCGGCCACCGCACTGACCACGCCGCATGGATAAAGGTCGGAGGTCACGCGGATTCTCATTGGATAATTAGCTCAAATGCACGGCGCGGCCGTTTGGGTGTTACGCGGTCGTCACTCGGGAGCCACTTTAATCCCATCCCACCGGCGTTTGACTGAATTTAAAGCGATTAAAACAGTGTCGTCCAGCCCCACTGCGTTATGGAGCATACGCCCACCGCTCGACAAGCTTGATGCACTGTTAACAAAAGAAAATAGTAAAAAATGTGGAGAGTACAGACGTCAAAAACACATGTGTTTCAGTCCTCGTTAGAAATATCAACCTGATTGTGCACTGCATGTGAAGTCAATTAAATCTCAGAATGTGTACGCTATAAATCTATATATCTGCACATTGCGTGTGCGTGTGTATTACGTACCCATTATTGTTACCTAGATACCTAATCAACGTGAGCACCGCCGATATTATCGGATGGCATGTTCCACATACGTTCACTGAACTGTCGCACTGATGTCCTGGTCAGCGGGAATTTACACCCGGCGCTGAACTGCGCAGTATTTCACCAACGAGGGGAGGGGGGGGGGGGCACGTCGGCCTGGGCGCAGCAGCGCGGGCCACCAGACCCTGCCGGGGGCACACCGCCGGCGTCTCCACCAGGGGCCTCGCCCTCTCTCCATTAGGGTTAATGTGATTATTTGCGCGTGCGGGGCCGACAGTGACGGATGAGGGCGGGCCGCGCACCTGTCTCCGCCGGCGGACGGTGAGGCGGGCTGGCGGGAGACCGCCCTCCGCCCGGCACGTGTCACGGCGCGGATGACGCCGACGCTGGCCGACGCCAGCCCCATCAGCGTAGGCCGGCAGTGTTTGTTCTGCCGGTCAGGTCCGGGGCCGGCCCCGGGCGGGCTCAGGTCACGAGGTCACAGCGCCTTTGTGGCCGTGTGCATGACGCGCGCGGCTGACTCTTCATAAGAACGGCTGAGGACCGCTGAGTCGATTTGACCGCCGTGACCCCGGCGTTTCAGACGAGCTGTATGCACGGCGGCGCTCTGACCCGCCGGACCTCCGCGACCCTGCAGCCGCTGAGTTATGCCCGGCGAGACCACCAGCCGAAACGGTGGCGTCAATGAAGAGCGTCTCAATGGCCGCAGTCAGCCTCGACAGGCGCAATCAACGACTATTGGGAGCGGGGCCGCTGAGTGGAGAGCATGACCTCGGACGAAACGTCAGGCTCGAGCAGATTTGTCACACAGCGCACTGATTGGGGTGACGGCAAAAAGCTGTTTACGGAGTCACCAGGCGGTGACTGTATGCTCGGGCCGCGACCCGAGCAGCGTCGCTACATTTGTCAGCGATGCTTACCCAAGCAGGGCTTCGTGTTGAAGCCGGCACTGGAGGCTGGAGGCTCGGAGAATCTCTGTCGGCCTCCCGTGCGCATGGGTATTTAAGGAGAACGTTCCGGAATTTTTTGCCATTTGAGAACCGTTGGAGTGCTTGGATGGAATGTCAGACCATATAAGGCCGGTGGTGAGTAATATTAGGTGCAGAGTTGCCTGAGCGGCACACATTTGGCAGTGGTTTGTCCACTCGCTGCGGTCATTTTGAACAGCACTAATGTCCCTCAGTCGACAGCATGGCCAATGGAAATAATTGGCAGCGATGGCAAAATGCCTGAGCTGCGATGAGGTATAGACAACCTGCAAATGACGAGGCCTACTTGAAGGACACCTGCCAGAATGCGATAGCATACGGCGCTAGAGCTGAAGCAAACGTACGGTTGCCTTACAACATCTCACCGCAAATCCGGCTTATCAAAAAACGCCGTCGTTTTTTACGTCACTTTTCACGGCCCTCCCGATGCGCCCGGAGTTTGTGAAGACGTGACATGGCAGGGAGGGCCAAGGTTTCCTGCACGAAGATAGAACCGGACGTCTTAAAACAGAACCTGCTTTTGCATCAGACACCAAGAAACTAAAGCCACCTCAACGCGGAAGCCCAAGCTCCCCCGCCGGGAGCCCCAGCCACCTCAGACGGATTACGACATGTCGTATGCCACATGCGGCGGACTTATCAGACCGTTCTCGTTCCGGAGCGGAGGGCGGCTCCCCGCTCGCAAGCCTTGCCTGCGCCTAACGAACCGGACCAGCCGGCTGAAGTGGCACGGGTCGAGCCGGACCTTCCGGCCACCAGACACTCGCGGGGCGACTGCCTCGTCCGAACGTCCTCCAGAGCGCCGCGCCGGTCGGCGGTCTCCCGTTTAACGCCGTCCGCACGCCGCCGCCGAGCTACGCTTTTGAGGCGTCGTCTGAGGGCGTGAGTGAAGCCCTCCCGCTGTCCGCAGGGCAGAGCCGGAAATGCGCCACGGCCGCCAGGGCCGCCAGGGCCGCGCGAGCGAGAGGGTAAGCTGCCAACGCGGGCGCCAGGTATCGCTGGCCGCAGCTCTAGAGTTTCCCACCATCCACACGCCGGCAAAAAGTTTTCCGCGCCGCTGAGGTCATTCAGCGGGGCTTCCACTTGGTACATACCGACGGTGTCTCGCGCTTCGTCGCTATTCCCAGTGCGCCGTACAATCCCATTTGGTAAGTGGAGGACCCCCGCGGCGCCGGCGTCCCGCGGCACATATTGGGGGGGGGGGGGGGGGGCAAGACGCCAGGTGGAGGGCACCGAGGGAGGCGTCATCACCGGACCCCGAGCGCGACTGGCCGTTATCTGTCGACACCCTGGCTCGTGTTTGTCGCCAGGTCATGAGTGTGGCGTCGAAGCGGCGCCGCTGCTGTTTATCTCCGGTCTCCGGAGACAGCCGGGGTCGGGGTCGTGACGGTCACTCTCACGGTCACGAGGCGGTGGCGGAGCGAAGCTGATGCGCTTCTCATTTCTGGAGTTTGCGTCCCTAGCGTGGGAGGCAGCCATCGGAGCGTGATGGCATGGACAGAGCAGACAGCCGAGATCGCCGCTGGACGGCGTTTGCAGCAGGACCTCGGTGGTCACTCTGGAGCGCAGGACGCGGCGTCACGACCGGCGAGTGCGATCTGCAGCGGTCTGATCGAGCGATTGGACCCACGTCTTCACTTCGGATGTCCCGACATTTCACTCAGGCGCGCCAGCTCCACACTTAATCACGCCCCTCCCAATCGCCTTTCATCGGCGGACCGGACCTAAACGGCCCGGTCCAGTCGGTCCAGCCGAGCGCCGAGAGCGCCCTCCTATTGCGGCGGTGGCCGGCCGACCGCGCCGGCGGGGTGTGCGCACTATCTCCTGCGATCGCGCGGTGTGCCGCTGCTCGCGGGCGGCCACCCGCCGGTCTGCCGGCCCCGGCCGCGCTGCCGGCCGGCTAACGGTGCGTCCGCGCTCCTTCGCTTGGCGGCAGAGCGCGGCAGGCGGCAGGCGGACAGGCGGACGGGCGGACGGCCGGCGCTGCCTGCCGTCAGCCCGCGTGAACGTGTCGCACCAGCCGCACGGTGGCGCGGTTCCAGACGCGCGGCCTTGGCCGTATCACAGGGA